ACAACAACGCTAGTTGGAGTATACAAAAATAGCTAGGAACTTTAGGCATAACAAGCATAAAATTGAAATGCGAATCACGGAACTAACTTTACGATCCATCGCGTGCATGATACGGACAACTTCCTGTCCGGACGGTACATAAACTGAACCGTTTGTGCGAGCCAATGGAGGTCCGGATGCGGTAGCGGCGACTTCACGCGGTAAATCATCTAAACTGCGAAACGAACGCCCGGTCTCGACTTCGCGCAGACGCTGAAAATAGTCTCCGGTGGCTGTCCACAAAGGAAGAAAATCGAGATGTTCCACACAACCGCTGGACACGAATTTCTGAAACGTTTGGGATGGGAATGAGATAGTTTGTTTAGTTTCAATGTACCATTTAGAAGGATCCAAGTTTGCGGTAGACTTGAAACCCGACTGGAGAATGGGATAGAAAACGTGTTAGAATAAACCATTCATTTCGGTGATAGAAACTGATACAGTGAGCACATATCCATCCAACACGGCAGTCGCATCGGGAAGTGATTGACCATCGTGACCGAACGCAGAGAATCGTTCAAAAGCGGGCAGTTCCACAAGTAATACATCCAATCTGTGGGGAAAAAAACTTTGTCCTATGGAGCTTATCTTTCAGTCTTAAAATAAGGAGGAAGGTTAATTACATTTATCGATTAACGCGTTTTGTAACCCATTGCGGGTTTGATTTTGCGTTCACCTTTTACGAATGTCCCAAAACCACATAAACGATGCTCGAGGATCTCTAATTTCTGGTCATTTCTCTCTCTCTGGAAAGTAGTATACAATCTGATGGCAACATGTGTGGGAAAACAATAACGGGAAGTAAGTATCAACTAATTAAACCATTATCATCCCGCCGCATCCAACAGATTGCACATGGACCATAAGTACCTTCCCACAGATATTACACATTATACATATTCCACACTGGTTTAAAACCAGACTGCATATCAACAAAATCATAAGACGATAATCTTCAGAAAACTTTGATGGGCGGGATGTTGCCAGCTTGACCAGGTCAAGGCAGGTGAACTTTCTGGGGGAATCCACAACCGGATCCTTTGACTAGCCAGTCCCAAATGCAGGCAGTGTTGCAGTGTGCGAAATCGGCAATGTATTGGGAGTTGATGTTCAGTTCATTAAACCATACGCCCTTTAAACGGAGTTAAACGTCCAAGCTGCTTCATACACCCGGATATCCAACCTGGTCGGTGACCACTGGCACAACCAAGAAGGTATGGGTTTGTGTGCGGTTTGTACGCCTCTTCATAGTTGGTTTGGAAACAGGATTTTTAGTCAACTGCCCAAAGGTGAACTGTCAGTGGTTCACCAACCCCGTTATGGCCCNCCCCGAAATTGGCTTTTAATCCTCTCACTCTGGTGGGAAAACAGCTCCATCATGGGGATACAGTGAGCAGGGCTTCCTCGGCAAAAGTTATTTGAGACATTTAACCAGAAGGGAGGATTTCGCGAGGTGTAAGGGAAGGGTGACCAGCCACAACCCGAGACACCGTGGTCCCAGAATACCCTGAGGCTTCCCACCAACTGTATCCAGTGTCGTTTCGACTTTTGGGCATAGGTAGAAAATTTGTAGCAAAAGAAAACTGAAAAAGCTCTTTCCCATACCAAAGGTGAAAAGAGAACATGGCAGAGGAACGTTGCATATTTCACAATCGGATAGCTTTCACCAAAATCGATATCTATATCGACATTTTCCCAATCCATGTTCCCCGCGCAAGAACAATTCTTTTGTTCACAGAACTCATCGCAGTATCCTTATTGCTTTGTCGAATTGCAATGCACGTGAATTAAAGGTGCAGCCAATGACAGTGCACGCTGCCAATTCACGCCTACGGTAGTGCGCCGAGGTGATAGCGATACAACG